GAGGTGGGAGGGGGGACCGGGATGGGGAATACATGTAAATCCATGGCTAATTCATTTCAATGTATGACAAAAACCACTGCAATGATGTAAAGTAATTAGCCTCCAACTAATAAAAATAAATGGAAAAAAAAATGTCTTAGGGTGCTGAAGAGGATTTATGACCCAGTGAATGAAACAAAAAATCCTAGTTTTCTAGCTAACCAGTTCTTAAGTAAAATTGAACCTATTTTCTATTCTCTTTCATAGGTCTTTCATAGGTCTTCATGTTTTGCTGTCATTTGTTGTAAAGAAATAATGATTCTCTTATGATCAAGTTGGTTTTTTAAGTGCTAGTCTTGATACACATAAAATATAAATTACATTTATATAAGACAAGATCTATGACTTTCATAAAGTGAAGTTATAAGTCATGACTAATGTCAGAGACAAGGGATAGCTAATACATTTTAGTTACCATTAATCACTTAGGACAGAACTTGACTGAACTTTGTTTTTTTATTTCTCAGAGCTAAGCCCCTTGCTTCTCCAATATCAGTTGCAATTTGCAAGACTTGATACAAATAACAGCCAACCATCTCCTGACATCTGCTGTTTACAGCAAATAAGTTAAACAGATGTGCTTCCAAAGAGTTCCAAAACACCTGCCAATTGTTCTCAATTCTGACTGCACTCTAAAACCGTTGGGGCTGGGGAAGGGGCAAGGTTTTAAAAATACAGATGGTCTCTGACTTACGATGGTCAACTTAATGACTATTTGACTTTATGATGGTGCAAAAGCAATATGCATTTGGTAGAAAGCATACTTCAAGTTTGGAATTTTGACCTTTTCCTGGCAAAGGACATGCAGTAGATCCTCCCTCAAAATGCTGGCAGCTGCTGCAGCCACACAACCATGAGGGTAAACAACTGGTACTCTCACCACTGGCTGTACCCACAAAACCATTAGGTTCACTTCAGTACAGTATCCAACAAATTATATGATATAGTCAACACCTTATTATAAAATAGGCTTTGCAGTAGATGATTTTGCCCAACTGTACACCAATGTAAGTGTTCTATGCACATTTAAGTTAGGCTAGGCTAAGCTGTGATATGAAGTAGCTTAGATGTATTAAATGCATTTTCAACCTAAGATATTTTCAATTTATGATGGGCTTATCAGGACACAACCCCATTGCATCATAGGTTGAAGAAGATCTGTACTAATGCCTGGGACTCACTTTCTGAGATTCTGACCTAATTGCTCTTGGGTGGGGCTCAGGCATCTATGCTTTTAAGAGCTCTTCAGTTATTCTAAAATATGTTAAGAACCTCAGACTGGTGCAGAGCTTAATTTTTGTACTTTGCATATTCAATTCTGTCTGATTTTGCCTTCTTAGAGGCTGCTTCAGCGACTTAAACACTAATTGCAGTCACAAATAAAAGGCGACCATTATAAAAATGTGGAATGGATTTTTTCTATTCAGTATGGGTTTCCATGGAGAGTTGGTACTAAGTAGAAGGATAAAGATTTTCTTCTTGTTCATCTATTTTGTCTTCTGGAAAATTTCTCTTCCTGAGCTGGATCTCTTTAGACAACAGTTCATTCTCCAAATTTTGCTGCAGTTAATAGAAATGAAAATTTACCTGCTCAAATCTTCCCTACCTTCTCTGCATGTTCTTTTGAAGTGGGTTACCTACTAAATAGGAAGCTGATGTGTTCACAGGAGTTTTAACTTTAGTCGAATACAATTCATTCTTTACAAGCAATTGTAACAGTTATTAGTGATTTTAGCCAAAGGAATCACTTTGATAACAGAAAATTTAGGTCTTGTGATAGGGTAAAGGGATATAATTTGGGGATCCAAACCCTCAATCTTCTTTACAAAGTCAGTAATGTATTCTTTTTAAGAATACAATAATTTGACTGAGTCTTTGATAACACTGACACATTCTAATAGTAAAGACGATAATACTTTTACAACCCCTTTCAAAAGTACAAATTATGGTATACATCCCACATGTGCCTCTTCAATAAGTGAATGAATAAATAGAAAGCAAAATATATCTGAAAAAAAAAAAAAACTGTGCATCCTGAAAACAAAACTTTGCAAAGTGATGGAGACAGAAGAATTAACAGTCTTTTTAGCTGAAGGACTTCTATACCTTTAAATAATAAATCAAATGACTAAAGTAATAAGGTAAATTCAGTATCTTTAGTATTTGATCACAGAGACACCAGAAAGGCCAAATTATAATACTGGTAGGAAGATTAGACTGTAAGGTATTTATATCCAAATTCATCTTTAAGTGAATGTGAACATTTTAACACCAAAACATTAAAGCAAAGTTGCTGTTACTGTTATTAGTCAGTTACATACCCTGGGAGATGGCACTTTGGCTTTCACAACTTTCTTTAACTCAAACTCAGAAAAAATGTTGAAAACAAAGATATTACTATCTGCTCCAGCAGTCACCAAGAACCGGTCATCAAAGCTAGTAGAGATGGCATTAACACGTCCATAATTATTGTCATGCATATTGAAGTGCCAGTAGTCCTTCATGCTGGTCAATGAAGAATCATTCTTACTTAGGATATATACTCGAATCGCTCCATTTTGCATTCCACAAAACATCATTTCTTGGTTAATACTATGAAACACAAGGAAAGTACATTGTTCTTCATATTAATCTGAAAATGTTTAATTTTAAATTAATCGACGAATGGCTAAAGTTTTAACAACAAAGATGTTATGGAGTAAATTGTGTCCCCACAAAATTCAGATGCTGAAGCCCTAAAAAACTATGGCAGCTCTAGTAAACTAATACAAAAGGGTAGAAGGACAAAAAGACAATTTGAAATCTGGAGCTATTATATTTGGTCTTTAAAAGAATGATCAGCATATATGCTTAATTCTCAATTATTCAATTTGTGATTTCTCCAGAACCATTGTAACGTGGAACTTTTGTTATCTTACCATGCAGTAGCATCCTCCTAAGTAACAAAAAGAAAATTGATACAATTTAATTGTGTAACAAGTTCTGACAGAATGTTTGATAGAAGGATTGAAGTAGTTTCAGGATTAGCTTTGACTCTACTTTAGTCATTTGATTTAACTAAAAATTAAAAAATTGAGTATTCCTCCATTTGGACAGATCTTTAGAAATGGTAATACTCATGATGGAAAAAACAGAAAATAATGGGATGCAGTTTTTTTTTTTTTTAAAGAATTCTGAAATTCTGGTCACCTGAAAGTGATAGTTGTGATGGGATTATCCTCTGTATCTTCAAGAAGACGGAAATCAAAAGGTTCATCTTTCCTTACTGTGTTATCACTGCTTTTGTCATCTGGAGGAAATTCACAGTGATATAGAAAACCAGAATCATAGCCACCCTAAAAAAGAGTGAAACAACATAGAAGATAGTACCTGAACACAAGACACATATGACCACATGAGGAGTTTTTGATAATTTCAAATTTTAACACATACAAGAGATGTCTTAAAACATGTATTTTATATAATTTCTATGATTATAGATAAGTTTTACAAAGCATGTCTATTACTCATTTATATTCAGCCATACAATTATAAAAATAAAATACCTTACAATGATTTGTTCCCACTTAAAACACAAGAGAGATATCACTTCTATCTACATACTGAATTCCATTTTATTTCAAGGATTATTCAGTATAAGTAGTATTTAACAATTGAGTTTTGTAGATCATGGTTTTCAGAGATTTCCAGTCTAGGACATTTTTTTTTCTCCCTAAGGCAATTGCTAATCTTGAAAAAGGCAGCTGAGAAATTAAGAAGCTGAGCAATCTGTAATCTCATGGGCTTAGAAAAAGGCAAAGAATTCCCAGGGTCCTCCAAGAAGAAGGAGCATTGTAAACACACCTTCCACTGGGCTTTCCATTGCAATCCCACATGTATGAATAAACTAGAAACAGACTGGCCCTCACAGAAAGTAAAACCTAATTTCAAGTCATCTCAGTCACTGACTGGATGAAACTGACCTAGGGTTTCTAGTTGCTTTCCAGAACTGAAAATAAATTTCCAGGCAATAATAGCAATATACAGAGACTCAAGTTGATGCTACAGTTTTTCACAAAGTCTAGCATTCAGTTAAAGAGAAAGCAAAAAAGCAACTAAGTGTATTAACAAAGTCTTGACTGAAAACCAAGAGATAAAAACATATCCAAGAAACAAAATTATAAGAAATATTGATAGAGGTGTTTCCAAAATGGACTCCAAAATAACTATGATTAATATATTTAGGGACTTTTGAAGGAAGAAAATTTTAGAAGTCAACTAGGATCTATAAAAAAGTAGATAGTGGGGAAAATGAAAATTCTAGAGCTGAAAAATAAAATGACAGAAATTAGAATTCAATAGATTGGTTTAAAAACAATTAGACACAGCCAAAGCTAGAGTTATGAAACTGAAACAGAATCAGAAAAAATAGACTAAGGCAGGAGAGAGAAGATAAAGATGTAAAATTTTTTTAAAAAGGAGTGTAAGATCTGTATGAGGCATAATGATAAGGATTAATATATACAAAATTGGAATTCCACAAGACCAACAATATGGACTAGAAACAGTATTGTGGTTTATAAATGACTCAGACTTTTCTAAAACTGAATAAAATGCATTAAAGTACAAGAAATGCCAATTACCCACAAGCAAGATATATGAAGAATTTATACCTTTTAACATGAATTTCATGAAACTCCTAGAAGAGAGCATAGGCAAGACATTCTGTGACATAAATGATACCAATGTTTTCTTAGGTCAGTCTCCCAATACAACGGAAGTAAAAATAATAATAATAATAATGAAAACAAATGGAACCTAATCAAACTCACAAGCACAGCAAAGGAAACCATATAAAAAACAACAACAAAAAGTCAGCCTATGGAATAGGAGAAAATATTTGCAAACAATGTGACATACAGGGGTTTACTCTCCAAAATATACAAATAGCTCATACAACTTCACACAGAAAAACAAACAACCCAATCAAAAAATGGGCAGAAGACTTTAATAGACATTTATATAAAGAAGACATATATATAGATGGCCAGCAGGCACATGAAAAGATGCTTAATATCACTAATTCAGTTCAGTTCAGTTCAGTCGCTCAGTCATGTCCGAATCTTTGCGACCCCATGAATTGCAGCATGTCAGGCTTCCCTGTCCATCATCAACTCCTGGGGTTTACTCAAACTCATGCCCATCAACTCGGTGATGCCATCCAGCCATCTCATCCTCTGTTGCCCCCTTCTCCTCCTGCCTCCAATCCCTCCCAGCATCAGGGTCTTTTCCAACGAGTCAACTCTTCGCATGAGGTGGCCAAAGTACTGGAGTTTCAGCTTCAGCATCAGTCCTTCCAATGAACACCCAGGACTGATCTCCTTTAGGATGNTGAGGTGGCCAAAGTACTGGAGTTTCAGCTTCAGCATCAGTCCTTCCAATGAACACCCAGGACTGATCTCCTTTAGGATGGACTGGTTGGATCTCCTTGCAGTCCATGGGACTCTCAAGAGTCCTCTCCAACACCATAGTTCAAAAGCATCAATTCTTTGGCACTCAGCTTTCCTCACAGTCCAACCCTCACATCCATGCATGACCACTAGAAAAACCATAGCCTTGACCAGACAGACCTTTGTTGGCAAAGTAATGTCTTTGCTTTTTAATATGCTTTCTAGGTTGGTCACAACTTTCCTTCCAAGGAGTAAGCATCTTTTAATTTCATGGCTGGGCTGCAATCACCTTCTGAGAAATGCAAATCAAAACTACAATGAAAACTAAAAATAGAATTGCTGTATGATTCAACAATCCCACTCTTGGGCATATATCCAGACAAAACCATCATTCAAAAAGATACATGCAACCTTATGCTCATAGCAGCACTATTCAATAGCCAAAACATGGAAACAACCTAAATGTCTATTGACAGATGGATGGATATGATACTAAGTGACATTAAGTCAAAAAGAGAAAAACAAATACCATGCTATAACAGTAATATGCGGAATCTAAAATATGACACAAATGAACCTATCTACAAAACAGAAACAGACTCACAGAGATAGAGAACATATTTGTGGTTGCCAAAGGAATGGGGGAGGGAAGGGCTGAAAGTGTAGGATTAGCAGATATAAACTATTGTATATAGACGGATAAACAAACATGGTCCTACTTCATAGCACAAGGAGCTATATTCAATATCCTGTGGTAAACCATAATAGCAAATAATTTTTTTTAAAAAAGGAATATCTATATGTATATAACCAAGTCATTTTGCTGTATAGCCAGAGACTGGCACAATATTGTAAATCAACTTTACATCAGTAAAAAAAATAAAGAATTTACACATTTTAACACAAAATCTTCAAAGCAATGAGAAAAAAAGATGCATAAGGTTACAAAGAAATAATAATAAAAAGATATAAATGGTAGAATGGAAGACAAAAGATGATAAAAATATAGTTTTGGAAAGAAAATATACAGAAGAAATAAAAAAAATTTAAAGGCAAAATAGGCACAATAAGGCAAAAACAAAACCAAAACTCATATATACATATATATATATGTGTGTGTGTGTGTGTGTGTGTATATATATAAATAATTTTGCAATGAGGTGTGGGGGAGGATACACAGCATTAAATGCCCAAAGATTTTTTTTCTCTAGAGCTAGTAAAAGAATAAATTTATGTGAAATTATGGGTTTCAAAGGTGGTGCAAGTGGCAAAGAACCCACCTGCCAATGCAGGAGACATAAGAGACACAGGTTCAATCCCTGGTTTGGGAAGATGCCCTGGAGAAGGGAATATCAACCCACTCTGGTATTCTTGCCTGGAGAACCCCATGAACAAAGGAACCTGGAGGGCTATGGTAAAGTTCAGTTCAGTCGCTCAGTCGTGTCTGACTCTTTGCAACCCATGAACTGTAGCATGTCAGGCTTCCTTGTCCATCACCAACTCCCAGAGCTTGCTCAAACTCATGTCCATCGAGTCGGTGATGCCATCCAACCATCTCATCCTCTTTCATCCCCTTCTCCTCCCACCTTCAATCATTTCAGGCATCAGAGTCTTTTCCAATGAGTCAGTTCTTTGCATCAAGTGGCCAAAGTATCAGAGTTTCAGCTTCAGCATCAGTCCTTCCAATGAATATTCAGGACTGATTTCCTTCAGGATAGACTAGTTTCATCTCCTTGCAGCCTACGGGCCTCTCAAGAGTCTTCTCTAACACCACAGTTCAAAAAGCACCAATTCTTCAGTGCTCAGCTTTCTTTCTAGTCCAACTCTTATATTCATACATGACTACTGGAAAAACCATAGCTTTGACTAGATGGACCTTTGTCAGCCAAGTTATGTCTCTGCTTTTTAATATGCTGTCTAGGTTTGTCATAGCTTTTCATCCAAGGAGCAAGCGTCTTTTGATTTCATGGCTATGGTACATAGGACCACAAACAGTCAGACAGGACAGAAGCAACTGAGCATGCATATTAAAATAAGGGTATATATTGTGATCTTTAGAATCACCACTAAAATAGTAATATATAATATTATATATTACATTAATATATAATATATAACATATAATATATATTTATATAATATAAATATTACATATAATAAATAATAAATATAGTTATATATATATAATAATTTAAAAGAGGAGGAAAATTGGGGGGGACTACCTAACCATCTGATAGAAGGTAAAAAGGGGAACATATAACTGGAATTGGTGTGATAAATAGAAATAACCGGACAGTAGATTTAATCTAAAATATATTAGTCACGACATTAAATGTAAATGGACACAGCATTCCATTAAAATACAGATTTTACTACACGATTAAAAAGAAAAAGCCTAACTTTGTGCTGCTTACAAAAGATATACTTCAAAATAAGAATATCAAATGTAAAGGAAAAATAAAAATCATCAACAGCTCTGAGTTTTGGCTTAGAAACTGGGTGGATGGTTGTTCCATTTACTGAGATGGAGATGAAGCAAGTTTGCATAGAGCAAGTGTGATTTTTAAAGTTCTGTTTTGGACATGTTCATTTTGAGGCGACAAGTAGAGATGTCAAGTTGGATGTTCAAGGCTGAATATGAGAGGAGAGGTCAAGACTAGAGATAAACATGAGATTTGCTGACATATAATTGATACTTAAAGCCATGGGACTAGATGAAAGCATCTAGCAAGAAGGAGGCTGCCCAAGAACTCGAACATTTTCAAGTTTTTCAAAGTTAAAAGCTAGTTCAACAAATAAGAAGCCAGCAAGAGAAGCTAAAAAGGAGTGACCTGGCCAGCAGAAAGTGGTGTCATGGAAGCCAGGCCCCCCAAAAAATGCTTTAAGAAAGACGGAAGGTCAACTCT